AAAAATAAATAAAACAAAGAAAATTCAATAACAGTAAAATTAACTAAAAAAAAGAACACAATATTTACATAAGGAAACAAAAAAACACATTTATTCCAACGGAAACTAAAATATTAAACATAGATTAATCTTAATTCTCTACGGGCAACATTTTAACAAACTTACACACTTAAATGAACCTAAATTATCATAAAATCTAAATAAACATTCCTTAAAAACTAAACTTTCCTTGGAACCAGTGTCCAGATATGCTTCTTTTCCAGGCGATTGAAAATCCCCGCTTCTAGGAATGTGGAACACCCTCTCTGAAGTTGAGTGGGTCCGCGATCGCCTTCGTTGATCAAGGAATTGATGATTTTCTTTGCTCCGGCCAGGCCGTCTCGACGCACACCGTCCTCTCTTTTTTCACTCTTCTACTCTCTCTTAAGCCTACCGTCTTAATTTTGATTAACCCACCGCCAATTTTAGTTTAGGTGGCATTACAATTCAGGAGGCATCCCTGGCCAAACAACAACAATACACTCATACTATGTTACGAACAATGCCTCTGAATTTTCATCTCTTTATTTATTTTTTGTTTGACTTTATTAGCTCATACAATGTGACGAAGGGTGTCACCAACAAGTGTAAATCCAGATTGGGATTTCTTGGCGTCAAAACGAGTCGAAGGAGAAGAACCATGGCCCTTTTTCGTTTGAGTCTACTTCAGGAGTCTCACGTAATTGGCGTACTAACGACAGTATGTAGATTCGTAAAGTGGAAACGTGCTGATGTTAGTTTTATACTTGCTCTGATTGTCTAGATTGTACATGGCAACATACTAAGAAGCATTCTGTATAGACGTTGGACTCGGTTTTTAATTCATTCGTACACTGCTTGTTAAAATTATGATGGCTAGTAAATGACTTTACTGGTGCTCACTTTCCATGTGATCTGGGACACATTAATGTACTAATGGCCTTGTTTTGTGTCATGATCGTCCAAGTAATTCTAAGGAATTGCAGTACTAAGTAATGTCTCTATATGACTGGAAATGTGATAGTTTTTTCACCTTTTTTCATCAAGTTGTGTACGGTCGAGAATCTTACATACTGCGTCCAACGTCTCATAGAATAAGGAGCATTATATGACACGTTTGACTCGGTTTTGCTCCATTTACCTTGCTTTTTGGGTTTTTGGGTTTCTACCAAGTGCTCACCAGATCATGTCATTTAGTACTGGGCACATAATATATTTGGTTTGTGGATTAGTCCCGTTGAATTTCTCACACATTATGAGATGTGTTATTAGTAAGGTAATCCTATTTTTTGCATGTTTGTAAGCAGTTGATGCTAGGTGTTGAACTTTTAGCTTTACCCACGAAAATGTTTGGAAACCAAGCTACAGATTCCTGCAGTCCTCAGCACGACATATCTTATTTTCAAAATTATATTATCGTTGTTGAACAAAATAGATTAACATAAGTTTAGCATTACATTTTCATGTATCATATCATTTGATCCTTTGTACACTTTCAGAGGGATTATATTGTTCATCTTTAGTATGAACACATATACGACTAGTAAAAATGATATTGAGTAAAAGAAATTAAAAACAATTTTTATATGTGTGTAAAAAATTTGTATTTTCTTTCAGGCTTGTACCGATAGTCGAGCCGGACATAGAGCAAGAGGGAAAGCATTCGTTGGAAAGAGGGCAAAAAGTTGCTGAAACTGTTTTCGCCCAGTTGTTCCAAATGCTGCAACAATATCACGTCTTCTTCGACGGGATGATTCTCAAAGTCAACATGGTCAGCGCCGGTATGATGTGTCCGAGAATATTCGACTCGGATCAGATTGCCAAAGCGACAATGGAAGCATTGACTAGAACGGTGAGTTGGCACAAATAAACCGCAAACCGAATCACTGGCAGATGGTTGGGATAAAAACGCTATTTTCAGGTTCCTGCTGCTGTCATGGGTATATCCTTCCTCGCGGGGAGCTTCGAGGACACGGAAGCGACCAAACACCTGAACGCGGTCGTACGCTGCGTCTCTCGAAGACCGTGGTATATCAATTTTTCATTTTCTAGAGCTTTGAGCTATACCGTCCTCGACATCTGGAGGGGAAACGTTGAGGCAATAGAAGAAGCTCAGAAGCAACTGTTGCGAAGGTATACGATTTATCAACCGTTTCTTGCAGAACTTTCTTTAAAAAAAAATCTTCTTCCCTTAGGCTCAAAGATTGTTCACTCGCTAGCTTAGGGAAATACAATGATATAGAAGAGATCAAACTACCGGAAGACGAGGAGCAAATACCGACGCATCAATATTACGAGAATATGCCAAGAAATTTGTAATAACATGCGTAACCGTTTTTATCATTTTATAACAACAATACGCCAAACTTTCACATTTGAGCCGCGAAGGAAACCTCATTTGCAAGAATGAAACTACTACGATAAAAATGTTTGCCACTACGTCGTCTTACTATTCAGTCTGTATTTTGCATTCCTTGGTAATAAATGTTTAATTTCACTTTAAAAAAAATTATACACATATGTTTTTAAATGTTGCAATATTATTCATATGGTATCGATAATATAATAAATGTTAAAGGTTAGCTGGCAATTTTTCAATTAATCCTGCTAAACATTATCAATTCTAGTTTAGCAGGATTAATTGATAAACCTTTGTCACTCGCTAGACTACATGACCAGTGATCTAAAGTCTCACAGACTAACAAACGACTCATATGCAATATTGAAATTAAGTCAATACGGACTTAATGATCCTAGCTTTAAAGTGCTCCGTTCCTCCCAGGCTAATTTTCCGAAAAATAGTAGATGCTTCTTTCTACATTTTCAATCTTACTACTCACACGGATCTCAAAATTCTTTTCACCCATGATCTGGCAGGAACTACCAATACCTACGTTGAATACCGAAGTATCACCAAGAATACCAACGTCTACTACAGCCTTGTACACTCTACCTACTCTCTTGCCTCAAACTTGCATCCTTCACTTGAAAAATAATCCAATTAGAAGACTCAAAACAAATTGGCCATAAGCCTTATTGGTCTAATGTAAAATTGGAGCATCAAGAGACCTATTGGATTCGAATTCTTTTCCTGCTCTCTTTGATACATTCTATCCTAGCTTTCTTGTTCCCGCAAGGTTTTTAGTTCTGGAACATTGTAGAAAGTTTTGCATGCCGACCTGAGCCACGATAATACTGGGCAGGGTCACAGGGGAGTATGACTCGGACGGACACAACAGGCTTAGAAGGGTTTAAATAATTTTAAGTCTAGATGTTCCTCAGTGGGTTTCACAATTTAAAGAACTTGTTGTATTGAATTTTTGATCTTCCCGTCTTGCAGTGTTTGGTCTATCAGACGCGCTTTGGCAAGCCATCGTCTGTCAGTTTGTCTTGTTTACATTTTGTGCATATTGGATTGAATTTTTCTCTCAATTGCACGAATCGAGATGTACATGACCATGAACTCTCGATACTGAGTTTTTGGATCAAATAGTGCTCCTGGAACAGTCTTGCGTCCTAGGTCCATCGGGGTCGAACAAGCTGTACTCATGACCGCGGGTTTTTTCTGTTGAAACTTCTCTCTGATGCTTAGAATGATCTCGTCCAGAGATTCTTCTTAGCTGATCTTGTTTTGTGAGATTACTCCATGTGATTTGCGGAAATGCCGAAATGCGTGTGATAGGCTAACCCGTCGAATTAGCTGTAGGGCATGTCCTCACTGCCACTGTGATGCTCTTACGCCGAGAATTTGCCGGCTTCGCTCCCTGGGGACGGGCGGGGTTACTTAATGAATTAACAATACTGAATCTAATATTAAATTTTTTAAAAAATGGGGGCCACGCTGTTTATATACACGGAAACTGCGAACCGTAAAGAAAAAAAATAAATAAAACAAAGAAAATTCAATAACAGTAAAATTAACTAAAAAAAAGAACACAATATTTACATAAGGAAACAAAAAAACACATTTATTCCAACGGAAACTAAAATATTAAACATAGATTAATCTTAATTCTCTACGGGCAACATTTTAACAAACTTACACACTTAAATGAACCTAAAGTATCATAAAATCTAAATAAACATTCCTTAAAAACTAAACTTTCCTTGGAACCAGTGTCCAGATATGCTTCTTTTCCAGGCGATTGAAAATCCCCGCTTCTAGGAATGTGGAACACCCTCTCTGAAGTTGAGTGGGTCCGCGATNGATGGCCTAGCCAAAGAAGGTTCTAATACTGCGTTTGTCGGGCCACAACCGGTATTACCTCACTCTGTGAGCACAGCGAAAGAGAGTATCAATAACTGGGGCATGAAACAATTCCTTAGGGAGTGGAATTTATCCCCCGGACACAGGCAATCGAAAGAGTTTGTTAAGGCGATCAATCCAGCTGAATCGAAATGGCTATTGTCTATCTTGAGGAAGGGAATTACGAGGCTGATAGGTATTCTGACGAGCAACTGCCCACTGAGAAGACACCTCTTCGTAATGGGTATCCTACCAGATCCCTTTTGCCGCTTCTGGGAAATAAAAGAAGAAACGGCAAGGCACTACCTCGCAGAGTGTGATAGGTATGCTAGGTCTAGATTCGAAATCTTTGAAGGAGAGGACATCACCAAATCACTCCCCGAGATAAAATGGTTCAAAATCTTGGGGTTTGTGAACAAGTCCAAGAGGTTTATGCAGTACACGTGAACCGACCAAGTCCCGGTCATTTAGGGATGGGGTACGAGGCATAATACCTAAGCACCTCTACCAGTATCGGTCTATTGTGTAACCATTTTTACCAGTTGTTTTGAATTTTGTTGAGAACTCTGTGAACCCTTTCTTAGGAGGGGTCCGCCATTTCTTCTTCTGGTAATATCTTCACAGGCTTGTTTCTTCTGCTCCTTGATTCTATATGTCTCCGAAGTCTGCAATGTCGACTCAACAGACCAACTAATATTCTATTCAAATTTGCTTAGTGGTCATAATTGATCATATTATTTATTCCAATTAATTATTCTTTTTACCTGAGGGCTTTGGTTGAGATGAAAAATTAGTGTCACGAGCGGGATTCGAACCGACGACCTTCGGCTTCGAATCCCGCTCGTGGTATTAATCTTTAATCCGTTTACGTTTTCGTAGTCAATTGACCAAATTACATCGTTCAATCAATTAATTATTCTTTCTAAGGTCTTGCTTGAGATAAAAAAGCCTGCGTCACGAGCGAGATTCGAACCCACGACCGCGTTAAATACGCCACTACTTGAGCTATCGTGACTTCGATCTTCTCGGACACCAACTCTCCATCTCAACCTACAATTCGAATTGTCCCTCTTTTTGCCATTTTCAAATGTCGTGTAATCGGATTGGATTCCAGGCGACTTATGAAGCGGCCATGGAGAGCAGTTTCGTGGAGAGATACTTCTTTTACTTTTTAAATATTAATCCATCTACGTTTTTTTAGTCAAGTGACCAAATTACATCTTTCAATCAATTAATTATTCTTTCTAAGGTGTTAATTGAGTTAAAGATGTCCGAGAGGATCGAAGTCACAATAGCTCAAAGGGTAGAGCAGCGGTGTATTTAGCCAGTGGTCGTGAGTTCGAAGCCCGCTCGTGACACTGACTTTTTTATCTCAACGAAGACCTTAGAAAGAATAAGTAATTGATTGACTAATTTTTAATCTCAAGCAAAAACCTTCGATATTATTCTATTGTTCGATAGTTACTTAGCAATCTTGACTTCTCATCCTCGCTAATTTTTATTGATTCAGACGCGTTTAGGTATTTCGCCATCTTGAAGGCGGCCATCTGACGGCGAATGCCAAAACGTCTGAACGGACAAAAATAGGATACGCTAACTATCAAACAATAGGTTTATCATCCGACAGGAAGAAATCTTACATGTACCATTCTACCCTAGCACGTCCTAGATTTAGTAGTCTGCCTTTAGTTTGTCCCCTTTGGGAGTGGGTGTACCGCAGGGCAGCGTGCTTGGACCAATCTCTTACTTCATCTACCTATCTTCCTTTGCCGGCTATTTTCCTCAAAAACTCTCCTAGCATAAAAACTGACTGTACCGTATCTTGAATTCTATCTCTACTCACGTCTAACCTGAAACCGGCATATAAGAATTGAAAGCTTGCGGACTACTGCAGATGAGTTAGGCATACTGATTAGAACAATGGAGCACCGTTAAACCTCCCAAAATAAAATGAATACAGTCCTTAAAATCCAATGTCTTCAGAACCATCGTCAACGATCCCTACACCTTTACCCTTCACAATGACCTCCAAACACCCTTTGTTAAAAAGCTTAAGCTTTAGAAATATTCTACATTCCATGCAAAACTATTCTCACATAATCTATTGGCCCGATCCATATCCAATATTATCCACTCTACAGTAAGGTGACTGAAGCGGAGGTGTCCTCGAAACCTCCTTAAGAATAGAAGAAAAATGTTCAGGAACTGGAAGAACAACACTGATTACTTGCTCCCCTCAGGATGTGATGAAAAATAATATTGAATCTCATTACATATAATATACATAATTAGTATAAATGGTAATAAAAAAGAAGTTTCTGCGATGATCCTTTGATGAATTTTTCACATGGAGGACAGACGGTACTTCTCAGTCGGGAAAGGCTGGGCCATCGCTCAAGCCAACCGATAGACTGTCCAAGTGCTTTGAGGGATAAGTATTGTGACCTTGACCTCTAAGACCAGTATGTGAACTTGCAAATACCTATTCGTCTATGATCTCGCCCTGGACACACTGACTCATAATGGAGCAGGAGCTGGTGATAGATAGATCTGGCGCTAATAGTTGTAGATAAACGGTTCGTTCGATCCGGTAGCCGGAAGTCTATCCGAGAGGACTGACTATATGATCCCGGAAACATTCTTGACAACATCCTACAAAGTCTCAACGGACTATAAAGGAGAAGCAGAACACAGGAGAGCGTCAGATACAATGATGTGGTATACAGATGGCTCCGGAACGAAGGAACCGGATCGGGCATTTTCTGTACAACCGAAAACATGAGCAATCAAACTCATTAGAGAAGTACACTTCGGCCTTTCAAGCAGAAATACATGCCATCGATGCTTATGCCTTGGAAAATCTTAAAAGAGGTTACACGGACAAAAAGTCTGATAGCCCAGCAACCACTAAAGCATTACCATGAATGCATTTATTAGCGTGACTGTGTAGTATGAGAGAGACGAAGGCGGAATATTTAGCACCCCAGTTAAATAATGGGGGAGCAAGCAGCTATTGAAGCATTAGCATGTTAGAAAATCACATCAAAATTAGTCAGTGAATACATCCAAAATCTCCAAAACACAACAACCAGATGATATCATGGGTGCCAGGGCACAGAGGAATTTTGGGTAAGGAGAAAGCAGACTACTGACCAGAGGAGGATCTGCAAGACCATACATAGGCGAACCTATACTTGGGATAACAACAACAAATATTGAATCCTCCATCGCAGAATTGATCCAAACGAAATAAAAAGAGAAGTGGATAAACTCTAGCGGTGCTAGACACAGTAAATTTATGATGGAACAACCTTCACTGAACTAAGGAACTAGGAAGGTACAATAAGCCGGAAGGCTGCAGTGCCTGGGGAGTACAAACCCTGCTTCCTAGTATCCTTATCACCATACTATATCCGAGTGGAACTCCTGCAATATTTTTAGGCCTATACCTACTATATAACCTGGAGGTGCGGTCTCGAAAAATCTTAACACATTGAGGTATTGAGGACCTCGACTCTCCCTACTTTTATCCTTGACTAACCATTAGATGATTTTAAGTCACTAAGAATCCTGAGACTAGATTTATTATATTATAAAATGATGAGATTCACAAGATGCTTAGAGTTTGTAGCAAAAGGTGAAATTTCTTTGTAAACAATATGTATATATTGTAAATTTATGGTAATGACCTATGCCAAAGCTTTTCGTAACCAAAGCCGTCATCGTTCCTCTGTCCTTAAGCCCCCATTTACTTTTTTCAATTTGATGTTGTCCCGCATTGTATGATAGGTCCAATCTTACTTTAAAATTTTGAACTTTTATATTTATGTCCTGCGTTCTCGTTTTATTTCAGTTTTCTTATTTATCTTTTTATCCCTTTATTGGAATCGATATGTGTATGTTTTAAAGACAAAGGTTCTTCATTTCTTTGTAATCTAGCTGAAGAACTATGAAGTCAATGGATAAAATAACTGCAAACTTAATATTTTCGTTTTTTTAAAGAAATGTTATTGTCAACCGTAGTAAGCTTGGTTATTTCAGGTTCACCTTTAGATATTGTTTTATAATTATTTGTTTTTTTAATAGTTCATGTGCTGTTTGAAAATAAATCAAATATGTAAGGTTTGGAAGAAAGGGATGAAAGCTTATTAAATTAAACCATATAGTCGAGTATGTTATTTATTTCGAAAAAGATTTTGACAGATTTCAGTTCTTGACGCATTTCTTGGGTACTTGAACGTTTTGTTGGTGGTTGGGCTTTCTGTCTCCGAAACGAAGGCTGTTTCCTTTGCTGACGGACTCGCGCCAGCGTTGAGCGGTGGCGTTGTCGGTTAGGCAGTGGAATTTCTCGTTTCTCACTTCATAACCTTCAGTTTTGTATCCAGGAAGGCACTCGGGCATCTTTCTGGCACTGAAGCATGTTTGTCCGTTGTATTCTACGACTTTAACGACGGAACGGTATGGCTTGCGTTCAACTTTCATGGATGGTTCAGCGATGTTGCTGGTCGGCAATTTTTGGTGTTGTGATTTGCGGCTGTTAAGGACGTTTCCGAGAACAACGTATTTCTTGTATCCTTTGGCATTTTGGGCTTTGTCGTGCATTTCTTTGGCTGGTCCCTTGCAGGTTTCGTCTGCGTAAGCGTAGCTACCAGCGAAGAGGTAAGGGTCTTTCAAGATCAAGTTGTTAGGACAGGTAAAGTCATCGACGTCTTCGCCGTTGAACGTTCCGCAAAGTCCACGGAGTTGTCCACGGAATGTGTTGGAAACCTGCAATTTGACGCGAGCTCCGTCGTATACGACTTCGACTCCGGCGAGAGGAGAGTACATCCTGACGGCACCAGTTGGCAGAGCGTAAACTTGGAAGAAAGTGTAGCCGAAGTTGTCTTCAAATTTAGCTACTTTGGTTTGGGTGAATTCGGCTGTCTGTCCGTTGACCTTAACTACTCCGACTTTGTCCGAGCTGGAAGTAGGTTTAACTTCGACGACATTTTCTCCAAAGACGAGAACGAGTTCCTGCCGATCAAAATTTATATGAAAATGCTAATTCAGACTTATTTAGAAATTACATGCGAATCAATACCTTTTTGTCTGATTCGTGTTCACGAACAAGAGCGCCAAAATATTTGTCTTCAGGGTCATGGGTAAAGACTCCAAGAGAGTGAGCCAATACGTGCCAGCAATCGCCGAGTTTTACGGGGAATGATTTGTTGTCGAAGGTGGTTGCCAAGTTCTTGTCCACTACGCAAGTTGCTGAAAATAAGAGAAGATCCGAGTTGTTCAATTACAAATTTTGCAAATAGGGATATCGTATAAATCACAGTACTTACGGAATTGTTGAGCACGGAAGTAGGTTTGGCCGAGGCGGTCAGCGGTGTTGTAATGTGGGTGGAACACAACAGCTGGTCTTACCCAACGGTTAACAGGGAGATGACGGAATTGAGCAGTGAGTGTTGGGGCCTCGACTGAGATGTTGACGGCTTTAAGGTCTTTTTCAAACCTGACAACGACATCTACTTCTCCTTGTTGGTTTTTGGCAGAAACGGTGTCTTCATGAACATAAGGATAAGCGAAGTAACGAGCGAGATCGTAGGCTTTGTAGGTGAAGTTCTTAAATACTTGTGGCACCTGTTCGTAGTGGAAAGTGAATTTATATTGATCGAAGAAGTTAGCAGAGGCGGTAGCATTGCGGCAAGCCGGTTGGATGTAATTTCCTTCGCGCATTTCACTTTCGCAAAGTTTGGAAACGGGGTGCTCACGAACGAAGTCGCGGCGTTCGTTGGTCTGAGAAAGTTTTCCTTGGAATGTAACTTTTGCACCTGAAGATGCCTTTTCGCCGAATGAAAATTCACCGTTGATTTGTGAAGTAGGCTGGGTTTCGAGAGCTTTTTTGAAGTTGACAAGTGGGACATTGGGTGAAGTTGCAGTAAGTTCAAGTGCAGCCTGAAAGTAATCGTTCATTTTAGGTCATTAATGTGAATTTGTTTGTACATAGGAGAAAAGTAACTAAATTACCTCGTATGGTTTGGTGGTGTAGGTTTGTTTGGCTGGAGTCTTGCTCACGAAGAAGAGGAATCGTGATTTGTCAGAAACAGGGCTGCTAGCATAAGAAGCTGTGGCAACATACTTAGCCTTGGATTGACCCTCGAATTGGACTGACATATCGACCATATGTGCGGTGTAGTCTGTAATGTATAAAATTAGTTATTTTTGTGTTCGTCAACTTCTGAGAAATAAGCCAACCTTGGATTCCAGCTGCGGCGTTCTGAAGGAACTGCTCTTGACGTTCAAGGCTGTCGGGTTTCGAGTCTGATTGGGCAGCGCTGTTCCTAACGTTGGCGGCCCTGTGTTTGTTGTGGCTTGAGTGTACGCCCTTTTCAGCGGAGTGTCCAGTTTTGCCGTAAACAAAGGTGAAGTTTGCGTATTGAGCGGTAGAGCGTTGTGGGTTGTAGACAACGGTGAAGTTGTTGTTGCTGATAGATTGTTCGAAGTGTCCATAAACAAGAGCCGAGAGTGGGTCATGACGTTTGAGTGCATTGTACACTGTGGCAAAATCGTAAAACTTCTGCTCAGTTTCGGCTTTGACGTCGAAAGCGAATCCGGTACTCTCGTGTCCAACTGTACTTTCCCTCTGCAATCACGAAACCGAAACAAATATGATTTAATTATTCAATTAAGTGTAAAGCATTGATGTTTAAGACGTACCCTTTGAACAGGTCTGACGTGAATATGTTCGGCGTGAGGGCCATCGACAACTGGGGTGAAGGTGAGGATGTCGTGTTTGGCAGTGTAGGCGACAGTACTGTATTCGAAAAGCTTGTGCTTGTGGTTTTGTTCAAACGACTCAAGTTTGGCCCAGACCTTGTTGTTTTCGACATCAACATCGACACGGGCACGGATGGGAAGATGTAGGTGGATGTTCCTTTGAAGACCGGCGATGTAACGCTGGTTGTCGAATGGTGTGACGAATCCCATCTTTCCTTGTGTCTTGACGACATAGCTGAAAGACGAGCCGCAATTGTACAATTGTTGTTTACGGCGCTTACTTTGCTTAAAGACCAAATTCTTACGTAAATTCCATATCGGTGGTAACGTTGACAGTTTTGGGGACGGGGATTTCGTTCTTTGGGTATGAAGCGATATCAGGATGTGATTGAGCGCGCATTTCACCTCCCAGGTAAGCGAATGTCGGAACATCGTAAGAGTAGAGGAATGGCAAACCCATGGCAGTGGGGAATCCGATTTTGAAACCACTCTTGCTGTACATCTTAGTGAAGTTGAAGTGTTGACCTTGGTGGAGAGACTGAGCAACGTATTTGGCGACTAGAACAGAATGTAGAGTCAGAAGTACGCTTATGTAGACAGGCGATACCATTAATGTAGACTAAGAACTCACTGTTAGGCAACTGTTCGACGGTATGGTTGTCGAAAGCAAAGAAACGTTTGCCACCGAAAGTCGAGAGGAAAAGGTTTCCTTCAACTTGTTCAGGCTTGTTAACGACGACATTCAACATTTTGGCGATTTTCTCGAATGACCATGTGTTGTCAGGTTTAGAGTGGCTAGATTTGGAATTTCTGCAATGTTCACAGGTGAATTGGTTTGAAAGCAATTCCATAAGTTCATCAGCGCTCGAGGTCATGTAGCTCATCTGAAAATATAGATAGTTGTATGCTACGTCATTTAGTGAGATGGTATTGAAAATATTTCAATAATTGCCTGGTATTGTCCTCGCTTGAATCCTCCAAGGTTTTCTCTGAGGTTATAGAATACAGAGCTGGGGACAAGGCTGTCTTCGCCTTCAATGGCCGTGAAGTCACCTTTGTATGAAAGGTGACCGTGTTGCGGTTCTTGTGCAACGAGATAGCTACGAATGTAGTGAGTGGAATATTGAAGACCGAAGTCACGGTAATTCAGCATGTTGACAGCAGATTTAGCATTTTCAGCCCTAAAAGAAAAATTTTATATAAGAAATTTTTCAAATCAATTAATTTATGTTCTAAACTTACAATTCGTAGTGTTCTGGGGTGGTGAGGCTAGCAGCGGATTTGATGGCGCTTTGCACGGCGGCAATGACTTGCTTGCTGTGGTCGGAGTTGGTAAATTGAGCCATACGTTGCAATAACTGTGCAGGTGGGTTAGTCTTCATCAACTGCATAACAGCAGCAACACGAACTTCTGAAGTATCTCCGGTGTTTTGGTAGATTTGGTAAAGAACAGATCGTACTCGTGTTGGGTATACTTTGGTCATTTTGTCCAAGGAAGCAACCATGGTCAATCGTTGGTAGTCAGATACATGTTGTTGTCCTTCGAGGTAAGGCTCAAAGACAGACAAAATTTTGGGATGAGCTGTGTTGCCGAGGGCACGGATGTATACTTGAATCTTAATGCTGTCTCCTTGCGAGATGGCTTTGGTGAGCTGCTTTTCTAAGTATGGAATGTATTTGTTGACGACATCCTTTGTGTTGTTAAGAGCAAATTTTCCGTAAGTGTACACTGGGTAGCGGTTGTATGTTGTATCCTTGTCGACTTGAGCTTTCCTTACAAGACTTGTGAACGCAAAAATGGCGCTGGTGTTCAAAAACCTTTGTTTGGTAACCTTTTCGCTTGTAGCCAAGTCCTGTAAAAATAAATGAACATAACGTTATGAAATTTCATTCGTCAAGAGATGCAGTTAATAGCAAAATTTTACTTACAAAAAATGCGTTCATGTATTCGTTGGTTGGGTAACGGGCTGTTTGTGGCAATACTGCTACAAGTTCCGCAGCTTCTTCATACTGTACTTTTCCGGTGTTGATCCATTCCTTTAAGCAGAGAAGAGCAGGTCCGGTTCCGGCTTGTGACATGGCATCACGGAAGGCAACCCATGCTTGATAACGTTCGGCATCAGAAGTGCTCCTAGGTGATGCTTTGGAGTATGGGTAGTAGAGTTGTTCAGTGGCACGTTTAAGTTGGTCGACGGTCATTGTTTGAAGAACACGGGTCAAAATGACGAATTTGGTCAAAGTGTTTTCACCGGTGAGGCCATTTGGCTTGTGAACTTCGGATCCTATTTGTTGAGCGAGCTTTTGTACTTGCTGGACGACATCTACCTGTCTTGCAGCTTGGATCGAGTTACCCTGGTATCCAATGAAGTAAGGCAAAAATGGCGATGTAGGTGCTTTTTGAAGTTCAGGTTCGGGTTGCCAGTATTCTTCACTGCTGCTAATCGAACTATGGCTTTCGCTGGAACTGGACGAACTGGAAGACGAGTAGTACTTGTTTTGGTCTTTTTTCATTTGTCCTAGAACTTCTTGTGATTCACTGGAACTGGAGCTTGAGGAACTGGAGGAGTGTTGGGTTTTACCCGATCTTTCTTTCTGTCCAACAGATCGTCGAGAACGATTCCTTTTTGGTTGTTGAGGATTTGTTGCTTTTTTGAGGGGGGATTGGACATGCTCTGAGGATTCAGAAGATGAGGAAGACGATGACGATGAAGAAGGTCTGGAGGTTTCTTCACGGCTATTGTATACCTTGTAAGCGTTATGGTTTTGTTTGTCTTCCTGTTCTGTGGCCGCGTTGTATTCGTACACGAGGTTCTTGACGGTACGAGGGTTGGGGACCGATGGTACGTTGCCCGATTGCGAAACGGCTTCGAGTGTCAAGTTCATGCGGCTGGCAACGATTCCCTTCTGGCTGTTGTACAAATGTGGAGCCAAGACAATTTTGTTGGTAGTGACCGAAGATTGAATGGTGTAATGGCTGAGGGATCCTGAAACGATGACTCTGGTCTGGGACGAACGCTATAAATGACGTTATCATTAGTTGTTATAAACGTTATAATGGAATTGTCGGCATTGCGTGATACTCACGGACATGAAAGTTCCCATTTGGTTGCTTGCTGGTTCCCAATCGGTCAATCCAGAGATGCCAAAGTGGTAAGCCACACGTTGGTCACAGTTGGAGTAGTTCATTGTTTTCACGATATCAATAAACTGTCCGTCTCCACGGTAGTGAGTAAGGGGAGCGAGGTATGGGCGGCTTTGCAATACGTATTCTGGAAGAGGAGAGACATCGTAGATGGTTTCGCACAATCCTGTCACTGTGTCCTACGGATCAAATTTAGTGTTCGTTGAATGTTATTATTTTGAAATTTTATTTAATTTTCCAAGCGGCTATTGAACTTACTTCCATGGTTTTGTAGACGCCCATATGATCGCCTTTGTTGGGTACTTGGTTGATTTTGGATTTCATCAAATGTTCACCTTGGGTGTCGACCTGAAGCTGACTTGCAATGGCTTTGAGCATGTTAAGTTCCCATGTTGCGACGGAGCTGGCCACGACCATTTTGTCAACGACGCCATTCTTGAGATGAAGTTCGAAAGGCTTGTTGGAAAAGGGGAGTTGACGGTAGTTCAACTTGTTGTCTGGTATGTAAGAAGACCAGCCCCCGGTGAGGTTCGCATGGACATCGGCGTATTGAGCTTGACCGATCTTTAAAAAAAGTTCGTTTTTTTATTAAACTTAGCTTCAAACTCACTAAGATTCAAGGGAAACTAATGTTACCTGCAGTGTGATGACATTTTCGGATTTGGGTTGGACGGTGAGTTTTCCTTTCATGAGCATACCAGCGTATTGGTCCGCGACCTGGTGAAGTCCGGTGACGGTCCTTCCCCTGATCTCATATTTGTACTGGTTGCCTACTTTCCAAGCAATTTCAGCCGATGCAAGCCCAACTAGAATTAATCAATGTACACATGTCATTTTAGCGTAGAATTATTTAATTCTTGGTATAACAGTGAATTTATTGTATCTAGTAAACGTGCTTAAAAACTTTTGATTTTAAAATTCTTTTTTAATTTGTAATTTCTCAGTCAAATTAGATTATTTGTACTGTTACATTTTTAATAGTAAAATTTAAGCATATTCTACTGAAATGCTTAGCTGTTCTTAAGCGAATAGTTGCAATGTGTTTTACTTACCAAGAGCTAGAAGGAGAATCTTTGTCCACATGTTGATGTGTTACTTCACTAGTTAGCAGTTAACACAAACCAACCCAGTGGGTTACTGATGTTTAAACCCATTCCGACCGGTATATATACTCGAATAGAAGTTCAAGAATCAGCGAAATTTTCAATATGTGCCATTCGTGCTGAGTCTCGTATCAATTGACCTTTTGACGAATCTCTTATCTCGTGCACCTATCCGACCTCTCCGAAAGAGTATATTCCATACCCTAGTTTACAAATTTTATAAATGGCTTGAATTGCTTATTACAAGGGCAATTAATTTTAAATAAATATTATTTATTGATTGAAATCGTATTTGTTCAAAATGGGCTGAAGACCTTCAAGGTTTCTTTGGTTTAAATCAAGGGATGAAATGTATGAGTGCCTAGAGTGGTTCCGGCAAGAAAATTATATTGTAAACTGTAACAAAAAAAATTTTGTGTGAATTTTTATGACAAAAGTTGTTTACTTTAAAACGTTAAGGAAAAATGATAGCAGATGTCAATAATTGTCAAATTTTAGTCTATCCTCAGTGAGTCTGTTAGATGCCTTTAAAAATTTTCCCATTGACGGTTGGAATTATACTTTATTTAGGATAAACCAAAACCTAAACGTAAATTCATTTTTGACCTAAAAATAATGGTAAGCCTTTTGGTTTTTCATTTTGCAGTATCTACATAGTTCTTCTTTTTCCTAAGTCGATTTTCAAACAGCTTTAACTATGTTTTATAAAATTTCTTAGCTTGCCTTATATTGTCCAGTGCTTGAGTTTTTCTTTCTCAATCCTAGTTCCAACGTAAGTGCTGCCCCTTTTATGTTGGTCAGCCTTATCACCTCATATACCTTTATACCTTAGAAACCACTTTAAGGTAATTTTGTCGTTCTTTCCTAGACTGATGAGGCAATTTGGGCACTCGCAGGCAAGTCTGAAGCATAGATTTCATATTTATAAAAAATAATGGTAAGCCTTTTGGTTTTTCATTTTGCAGTATCTACATAGTTCTTCTTTTTCCTAAGTCATTTTCAAACAGCTTTAACTAAGTTTTATAAAATTTCTTAGCTTGCCTTATATTGTCCAGTGCTTGAGTTTTTCTTTCTCAATCCTAGTTCCAACGTAAGTGCTGCCCCTTTTTTGTTGGTCAGCCTTATCACCTCATATACCTTTATACCTTAGAAACCACTTTAAGGTAGTTTTGTCGTGCTTTCCTAGACTGATTAGGCAATTTGGGCACTCGCAGACAAGTCTGAACCATAGATTTCATATTTATAAAAAATAATGGTAAGCCTTTTGGTTTTTCATTTTGCAGTATCTACATAATTCTTATTTTTCCTAAGTCCATTTTCAAACAGCTTTAACTATGTTTTTATAAAATTTCTTAGATTGCCTTATATTGTCCAGTGCTTGAGTTTTTCTTTCTCAATTCTAGTTCCAACGTAAGTGCTGCCCCTTTTTTGTTGGTCAGCCTGATCACCTCCTAACCTTCATACCTTGATACCCACTTTAAGGTAATTTTGTCGTTATTTTTTATAGTCATTAGACAATTTAGGCACTCGCAGACAATCTGAAGCATAGATTTCATATTTATAAAAAATAATAGTAAGCCTTTTGGTTTTTCATTTTACAGTCTCTACATAGTAGCAGTATTATTCTACCCTTTTTCTATGTCGATTTTCAAACAGCTTTAATTAAGTTTTATAAAATCGAAACATAAAATCATAAAAATGAATCAAACTGGTTAAAGAGGAGTTCCTTCGCCTTCTTTTTTGAGAGATTTATAAATTTCTTAATTTGCTTTATATTGTCCAGTGCTTGAGTTTTTCTTTCTCAATCCTAGTTCCAACGTAAGTGCTGCCCCTTTTTTGTTGGTCAGCCTGATCACCTCCTAACCTTCATATCTTGATACCCACTTTAAGGTAATTTTGTCGATATTTTTTAGAGTCATTAGGCAATTTAGGTACTCGCAGACAAGTCTGAAAGCATAGATTTCATATTTTTCTTTATTAATTTCTGTCCCATTGTATTGCATGGACTTCAACTTGAAAAATTGGATCAATGATGGTTGACCCAAGGGACTTTGCTACGATTCGGTGCTTTTACCCCTACGCCTAATCACTGATTCACCTCTGTGCATTATCAAGATCCATTTTGGGGGCGTCGGTGGCCGCAAGGTTTAGTCTTTGACAAGGCGCTCATCACTATAAGGTAAAGGTCCCTGGTTCGAATCCAGCGCGGCCCTGCATTCGAACCCGACATACTTACAAATGGGCTTTTTTTCAAAAACACCGGCACCCTGAGGGTTTATATGAACTCTGCTGTTGCGAACCCTCGTTAAAAAAAAGGTCCATTTTTGAAACTCGGTGCTACATCTCTTCCATAGGACTCTATAACCTCTTGGAAGACACTGTCAAAGTTGACCTCATTTTGTCAGGTACCGTTATAGCCACCTCATTTATTTTAATTCTCTCCACAATTTTGTTGTGACCTCTCAATATACAGGGTGAATTGCTACTCGTGCTACAAACTTCTCCAGTAGATTCTTCACCCTAAAATGAACAAAAAAGTTCATATTGTCCATGGTCCGNGTTGAGAATCGGACCATGGACAATATGAACTTTTTTGTTCATTTTAGGGTGAAGAATCTACTGGAGAAGTTTGTAGCACGAGTAGCAATTCACCCTGTATATGACTTTATTTCCTGGTGTCTCAGGAGCCTTTTGTACAAATCATCTTTTGTACAGAAATATGTAAGGGTGGAAGGTTAAGGCAACCGAAAAGCAGGGTGAGAAGTCTGATGAATGTAGTGGAATAAAACTATTATTAAATTAATAACAATGATGTATTAATCAATACAGGAATAAGATTAAAAGCTTAGTATGCAGGATTTTCTTCATTTTAGAAAATGCAAGTAGGAAAAAGTAAATAATCGGAAACAACGGATTAAAACAAACAAAACATGCTGAATATCAAAGATTTTCCTGTTGGGGCATGTTTGCCTTAAAGTACCTGATTTTAAAAGTTAGGAAAAAGCATCAAAAATCAATAGATAGTATGTTGCAATTAGCCTTTTTACGAACATTTGTTTAACAAAGATTTGATCATCCATTGAATCAACATTAAACAGGAAACTTAATATAATAATAATAAAACTTACAGTAGTGTTTTTCCAACGTCATAATAAATACAAGGGTGTAATTATGGAAGGGTACACGTAAGCATGAACCAAATGTTTGTAAGCCGAGTTGAGAAAATAATGAATACAAAAAACTGGAAGCCTAATAATTTTACACTTCCTACTTGTCAATTGTGAATGTTCAGCTGCAATAGCTGTACAAAAGTACACTGTAGGTTTGTACGTACAAGTTTGCTTCCTAACTACCGAAGGTAGGGAAGTCTTGTTTTCACGGGGGAAGTCGAAAAAATGGTTTGTCCCCTAATTTGAAAATTTCCTCTCGCACTTTTCGTTTCAGACCTTTCTGAAAAAATTTGGTACCGTGTGTGCCAGTGACCAATTACTTGTAATCGGCAAAATTCCGAAACCATGAAACCAATTTTTATGAAATTTTCAGAAATTGTGCAGGTAGGTTTCTAGATGGTACCCTATGGATTTTATCCCGAACAGATTAACAAAATTCTCATGCGCAAAATGTTAGGAAGCTATACTGCCCACACACTTGGGCCACATTTCAATTTGTCTATGAAGTGCGTTTTGACACCCAGGGCTTTATGGAAAATAGCTGAAATAACTTTTGAAATTATTCTTTAGGTGGTAGTTAAGCAGGCATTGTGTTCCCGAGTACTCATCGTCAACAAGACAAGAGGATCTTTGGCGTCCCCACCTGGCCTACTTGGCCTTATCGGACGTTTTGATTCTCAAGATGAGAGCTGACGCACCTCCGCATATGACGGAATGGTGTTACCGCCGTAGCATTGGTTTAGAGGCGCCCCTGCCCCTAAGGGCCGAGACAACCTCGCTCTCCGCTTGTCCACTCCGAATAGTCGGGCCCGCATTGTACATCGGGTCGTATGCCGCACGCGAAGGGCTAACAAGCCGAAATACATCACCCTGTCCCCTCGCGTACTCCCTAGATAGAGAAGGCCACTCTATCTCCCTGAATATAGGGGCTTCCCCAGCTTAGGGAACGCCTCGGCAGCGGTTTAGTTTAAAGAGGAATTGCTAACCACACCCTAGATGAGCACCGCCTACGGTAAAGTCTCCTATCGAGCTCAGCCTACACCTGTCATGCTCATTCGAGGGACGCCATAGGCTCAGCCTAGGTGGTCCGATCCTTCGCTTCCCCAAGGGTACCACGCCGGTCATACGGACAACAATGCAAAGCATACTCGAGTCAGAGACACCGATTCACTACCCGCTTCCATCCGCTTACTCACGCATTCGAGGGATTATACATGATCATCGCGTCCTCAACGCTTACACGCTGCCGTCCGGTCGCAACGTCTCCCGTGAGGCCGGGGGGGGGGGTTACGTTGGCCATACGCAAGCTTCACGAAGGTCACAGATAGAAGACAGCCTCTGTCTAAGTTCCCGCCAGGGGCGTCACCACGCGCCACCACGAATCATATTCCCAGTGTTACTAGGGCTGAATTTGGAAAGTTTAGTTAACCCGTGGTACAGATGGCCATACACCCTCCCCCGTCTGTGTAGACATGATCTAGTGCACTGGTCCTCGTGTGACTCTGCTAAGGCACCCGCCGCCCATGCCGACCCTAGGCTGACACAGCTTGTGCTTCAGAGAGGTTGCCACGCCCTCTGGGATGCACCTTTATTTTGTGCCCTGATACCCCCCTTGTAACCAAGGGTTAAGAGGGGTCACAGGAACTCGGATTGAGAAAAAGGGCTGTGAATAAGACCACGAGGTGAGCCGTTTCGGGGTCTCGAGTCCCAAACCACACTATACCACCCGTTGTCGCCGTAGTTCCACATAATAGGCAGAATAAGTGTTTTGTGGATGTGTGTGAATTGTTGAATCACTGATGAATTCGTGAAAGGAAGGGGTTGCTTATAACCCCGCCCCGAGGAATATCTTGTACTCTGGGTGAGTGTATGACGTCTGGAGAGTAAAAGA